TCTGGAACATTGTTGCCAATACTGTGTTTACACTGTTTTTCACTACCTCAGTAATCTGCTGTGTTTATGTATGTTATCTGACATAACTTACAGATCACAGCATGTTTAATATGTCTGCACCTTATTCTACTTCCTCATGTCCAGAAATCTGTGCTGTGTTGGTGCTGCACTGTCCGGTCTGTTTACTGTGTCTAATGTCTGTTTAATTTATCATATTTATTGTATTGTTTATAGCTTAATTTTTGTTTGCACACTGTCTGCATTTTTGCACTTTGTAATTTTGTACTTCTGTACTTTTTGTTCCTTGTGGCACCGTGTTGTTCCTGGAGGAACGTAATTTCACTCCACTGTGTTCTTGTACATAGATGGAATGACAATAAAAGCCTCTTGACTCTTGACTTGACTTGAACTGTAGAACTACAAAGTGCACCTATATAGTAAGTGGAGCTGATAAAATGGACAATGAGCGTAGAAACAAGGAGGTGGTCATAATGTTATGCCTGATTGGTGTATAAGCACTTAACTGGGATTAGGTTGTTGGCTTTGGTCTGATCTATGACTGTCACAGTTAGGCCTCACACAAAGAAATACAGATAAATGTTGTAGATAAAGAGGCAGAAGGAACATACAGAATATCAAAATGAGTAACTGACTTAATGCGTCAGAAAATATGAAAATATGAAGGTCTTCTGTAATTGTGATCTCAGGAAACAGTAGTCCTGTTAAAATCAGCCTCACGGTCGTCTTACAACAAATAACACTGCCTAGGAATCCTGTATTCATAATACACCATAAATGCATTCATATGGCGTTATATGAAAAACATAATGTCTTACAATAACAAGCATAAATTTGCTGTTGAAACAAAACCTTGAAATCTCCAAAATGGTAACTTTCTTAAATGTCAATGGAAGTTAATTTAACCAGATTTTTGAAGTGTTTCTATTGGTCTGTTCACTATGAAATTGATCACAATGTAAAAAGTTGACAAAAAATTAAAAATTACAAAAATGGAGATACAAGGTTTTTGCATGACAGTGATGATAAGCTTGTATTGCTGGTCTTAATTATTTATAATTACATGCAAAAGACTTTATAAAGAAAGAGTACAGAACTTCATAAAGTCCTATAAGGTTCTATAAGACACTGTAAAATCTGTTCATAGGAGCAATACAGACACTACTGTATTAATGCACTGTAACACTTTGCAGAGTTTTACTACTTTAAGTGAAGTGAGTTTTCATAAATGTTATTTAAATGCTAGAGAAATTTCATTTAAGCACATACATTGCAAAAAATGACCAAGTGAAAACATTTTAAATGTAGTTAATATATCTAATATTTCTCATTATAAGACTGTTGTAAGAATATGATAAGATTATTCCACCTGTTTCTACACACTTTTACTTGTTTTCAGTAATTGTATGTAGTGAAAGTATCAGATCATTTCTTTTTTTGAGAAATAATGAAGACAATTTTGCTGATTTCCCAAAATAATGCTTAAAACAAAATGATCTGCCAAGGAAACAAGACATTCTCACTAGATAAACCAACTTAAAACAAGAAAAAATGTCCAGAAATAAGCTAAATAATCTTATAATATTCTGAAAAGAGTCTCATAATGATAAATATTACATATATTGACTACATTTAAGATGTTTTCACTTGCTAAGATGCCAGTGCAGGTGGTTGGTGTCAATTGAGACGGAGCAAAATACCTTGCACAAGACTGCTAATGGGAGGCAGCTCACTGCCCAAGTCTCAGTTTAAGTACAAGATGTTCAGTGCAGACTTACATGTTTGAGAACTTAATATGAATATAGACCAATTTAAAGTGAACAGGAACTGGATTCTGTAAAGCATATTTACATTAACGAGAGGAGGGATGGTTCAGTCACTCGACGTTAAAGCGGCAGGTTTTGGTGTCTAAGAAGGAGGAGGGTTTAGAGAAGGAAGACCTTCAGCTGAGAAACACACCAAGCTGATGTTTAAGAACTATCGCCAACTACGTCTGACTGAAGATCGCCGTCCATCATCTCACTGTCACCTCCCATCTCGAATAAATTAGTGAGTAAAGAAATCTACTTTTTACTGAGTTACATTCTAGCCGTTTATATTTAGTCACTACTTCCTGTTTTGTTGGTGAGAACATCTGTACTGCTTCATGACTGATTACAACTCAAAAGTATCCCAAAAAGAGAAGAACACAGTCTAACACTCTTCATTTTCTGAGCTGAGAGATGCTGGATTTACTAAGAGTTCTATAAGTTACACAGTACTTAAGTAGAATTTTAACCTGAGACTTTTGTACTTTTACTCGTCGTTTTATTTGAAGGCACATTTGTTTTAACTTGAGTCATTATTTTACCAAGTACACCAATCAGGCATAACATTCTGACCGCCTCCTTGTTTCTACGCTCATTGTCCATTTTATCAGCTCTACTTACTATATAGGTGCACTTTGTAGTTCTACAGTTACAGACTGTAGTCCATCTGTTTCTCTGATACTTTGTTAGCCCCCTTTTACCCTGTTCTTCAGTGGTCAGGACCCCCATGGACCCTCACAGAGCAGGTACTATTTGGGTGGTGGATCATTCTCAGCACTGCAGTAACACTGACGTGGTGGTGGTGTGTTAGTGTGTGTTGTGCTGGTCTGAGTGGATCAGACACAGCAGTGCTGCTGGAGTTTTTAAACACCTCAGTGTCGCTGCTGGACTGAGAATAGTCCACCAACCAAAAATATCCAGCCAACAGCGTCCTGTGGGCAGCGTCCTGTGACCACTGATGAAGGACTAGAGGATGACCAACACAAACTGTGCAGCAGCAGATGAGCTATCGTCTCTGACTTTACCTCTACAAGGTGGACTGACAAGGTAGGAGTGTCTAATAGAGTGGACAGTGAGTGGACACAGTGTTTAGAAAAGGTGGTGGTCAGAATGTTATGCCTAATCGGTGTATCAATACTACCTTCGGATGATCAGGAAAGCGTGAGTCAGGCTTTATATTCTTATATGTGAGGTTTATACACTCCTCACTAACACCTTTCACCATTTCTTATTTCTCTAATACCTTGGACTGATTCACTGCCAACAACATTCTCACTGCAGGACTGTTTTGAGAAGACTGTGATTGGCTGAGAGGGATATCGATCATAATTTTGTGAACAGTTGGTTGGCCTTGATCTCAGCCAAACAAGACCAGGCTCCATTCTGCACTCTTAACAAAAAAAGGTTTTAAGTAGTTCCAAAAAGGGGCTTGGAACAATAGTGGAACCCTTTTGGTGCTATATGGATCCCTTTTCAAAAAAGTTCTATATAGAGCCACACACAGCACGTTCTCCATCAATCTGAAGAACTTGTTCATGATGTAGAAGCCTATAGTTATGCAAAGGGTTCTATACAGAATCACTTTCTCTATAAAGAACTCTGGAAGAGCCATCTTTTTTGAAGAGTGTAGACCTATCAACCCAAAACTGATCTGAAAACATCAGTAAAAATGGTCAAAAACGTCTATAAGCTTGTTCTGGTGACCACATGTGCACAGATTTCCACAACAAAAGGGATTTTTGTTTCCATCCTAACATCTTTACTAACAAAATTCTCCAACTGTTCTTAAGAAATTTCTTCTTAAACCCACTTATCTGACTCACCAATATTCTCTTATGTGGGATCGTTCTCCCACCGTTCTAAAGAAGAAATTTCTTCTTACGCAGGTTTCACAAAGATTCTGATGTTCTCTTATGTGGGATTTGTTCTTAGGAAAGAACAGAATCTACTCACAGTCAAGAGAAGGTGAGAACAGTTCTGTGCTTTAAGATCACGTCATGAACCTGACAAATTCAGGAAGACACTGGAGAATGAGGCTCAAGGTGATGTCCAAAAGTATCTAGAAAGTCCGTGTAATGAATGAATCCAGCTAGATCACCCATTTCTGACACGGGTTCTCTATAGAAAAGTACTGACCAGTAGAATGTGACGCTCTGAAGCAGCTACACATGAGCCTGAGGTCATGATATCCAATGCCCAGCGTGGGCTAGAGGGGTGTAAAGCCCCCCAGCACTGGGCTGTGGAGCAGTGGAACTGTGTTCTCTGTAGTGGTGGAGCTCCATCCACCTTTGGGATGTGTTGGAGTGATCCAGAACTGACCATCCAACATCAGTACCTGACCTCACTAATGCTCACAATCCAACATCTAGTGTGAACCATATAGGCTGTTTGTTGAAGTGTAGGTTAGAAACAGAGCTCGCAGATACAGAAAGCTTGCAGAAATCCATGAACCAGAACCAGAAGGTGAACCAAAACACACGGCAGGGAAAAAAACTAAGGAAACAAAGAGTAATGAGAAAACACGGAAAAGGGCAGAACAGCAGCGAGAACAGAAATTCAACAGCGCCGCACAGCAGGACACAAAAGCACAGAAGTATAAATACACAGAAAAATTATCAAACACAGCTGGTGTGATAAAATAGAGGGAAGGTGTTGCAAACTAAACACAGGTGAGCAGGATAACAAGGTGGCAGAGCTAGAGTGACAATACAGGGTAGACAAATGTGGAGCCTGACTGGGAAACCATGACAGAACCCTCCCCTTAATGCACAGGTTATAAAATGTAAAAGTGAACCCCACAGAGTCATTCATGGGGTCAAAGGAGGGGCCCTAACACAAACCAGGACAGGGGATTCGATGGGGACAAGGACAAGACCAAGTCCCCCAGCATTGTGTTCCCTGGAGTGATGGAGCTCCATCAAATACCTTTGGAATGATCCAGAACTGACCATCCAACATCAGTACCTGACCTCATTTGAACATCATTTGAACTCTGTCTTTTCTCAGTCTCAACATGATTTATTACATACAAACTAGCCAAAATCCCACACATCATGTTACGCAAGCTCCTCTGATAAAACTAATCCAGCTCAAACATTTCTTAATGCTGGCTCGTTAAATACCACAACTACAGATGAGCAGCTGTTCAAATAAGCACTAAAGCCAATCACTCACCGTTAAACTTGACCTTGCGGATGTACTCCAGTAGCTCCTTTCCGTTAATGTTACTCATGCGGGGGCAGAGGCCCGGGTATCCGAAGCACAGGTCACGATGCATGTTGTGAAGAGCGTGGGCCATGGCGTACACCGCGTCCATCACAAACTGAACCTTCCCCTCCTGCTCGTAACTGGAGTCCCGGCCCACCTTCTCCAGGCCTGGACACAAACACAAACACATATGAAGTGCTGTCTTCTCTGTACTCTCTTCAATAGGGCCAGCTCCAGTCTCACTGGGCCAGACATGATCTCATAATAAGAATCTTTGTAGGGAACCATGAGAAACTGTGAGCTAAATGTGAGAGGAATTTAAGCTTATTAAGTTGGGAACAAACTGAGAGTGAAAGTTTTACACCAATTCAACACTTTGTGTAGACGGAGCTCAAAGCAGGTAATAAGCTCATCAATATTGTCCAATGGACGAGAAGCTTGTTGTTACGTATGTCCTCACACTTAAAATGCAGGACATTATGGGATTGCTTTCAGCCACCAAACATTCCAGCTGAAAATTAACCAAAATTGTAGCAGAAAAAACTGACTGAATAAGACCAACACAGTGTCACTGTTTGTTCCCTTCGCTCTCCTGAGCAGGTAACAACAGTGAATAACAGGGAAAATATTATACATTAGTTGCCTGGGAGCCATATTACAGCAACATATTTACTCTGAAATCTGATCTGTTCAGTCTCCATGACGACTTCAGTACGGACTGAATTTCGGACAGTGTCTATTCCAGAATATCAGTTCCTAACTTCATAATCTCATCATGAACTCCAGATAAGAAAACAGCATCACACAAACGTCCTAACTAGACTAAACCTCCTAAATCCTGTCCTAACTTTAGGATGAACCCCAACAGGGTCCTCACTTCTGTTTAAGGTCCGTTTCTATGGTTTTTAGGCAGCTGAGTCAGCAGCATAGTTCACTACCAGCATAATGAGCTCCATTTATCTCTACTGTAAAACGCTGCTTTCACTGTGAGATGATTTTCTTTTCTAACTCTGCGTTTTAAAGATCTCAGACGCTGCAGACTCGATCTCCACCGCCCCTCTGATCACCTTCGTGTGTTAATGTTGATGATGAAATATTACAGTGATGGTGGTGAATAATGAGGAGACGGAGCTGAACGTGTGTCTGTTTATTAGGAGGAGTAACGTTAGCGCGCTCGGCTAAAGCGTTTGGGAAATGGAGACTGAAACTGGGGAGCGGCGACGCTCTGATAAACAGCAGGGGGCGCTCTCACAGTACTCACTACACACAGTTTATCACACTTTAGTTCTGTTTTGACCTTTTTTACATCAGTAACAGCAGCTGTGACTTACTGAAGTAGATGGTACCAGAAGTGAGTAGAGGTGAGGAGTGAAGTTGAGCTGTGCCATGTGGTGGAAAAGCGCCATAATTTCTTCCCTCTCCTACACGAGTGGGCACACTCAGACATGTGTTAATTCCCAGTAATGAAGAGCTGTTTAATATGATGCCCACATCTACCTGATAATTAGCTTAATTGGTTAATCAGAGCACTGAGGAGGTGACTGCCCGGGCTATCTCACGAGTAAACATTTACACTACTTAATCCCATCATTCTACTTCACACATACAGAACAATAAAAGAGAATTGTCCTTTTCAAAACTACAACAAGACAAACAAAAAAGTGTTGCATTACTATGCAACACACTGGGCGTTCACACCGTCCCTCTGTATGGATTTGATTCTGCCGGCCTTCATGGGTTATTTCCCTCCTGCCATCAGCGAGCTTTCCAACACGGTTTTATGACCAGGGAGATACACATGTATTGAATCCTTTCAGCTTGATTTTTTTTTTCCCCTGCAACCTTCGAGGCAACAAAAGATAAATAAAAACGTGCCCGGGCAAGGTGAATTAACAAGTGCTGTGAGCCCTCAATCAATACTCATGTCAGTGAGGAATTAATAGGCTGCTGTAAATGAAATTCAATCCACTTTTATAGCGTCTCTTGCGCGGTGGGAAAATGATGCATTCGCTCCTCCAAAAAAGAAAGACTGATTACCCGCCTTTTCCCCCGGTGATGAATAAGACCCAGGCTGCGGCTGGAAAGCGGAGTTCAACTCCATGAAGCAAAACAAGGGCGACATGTTCTGCAGCCGCTCTGCACATTCAGCCTGGAAAATTCCCAGCGCTAAGCATCGTTTTCAGCACCGCGCCAGCTTTGAGCGCCTTTCTGTAGTGGAGATGAGTCTTACTGCAGCTCTAATCATCTGTTTTTGTCGCTGTCGAGGCTTCCAGGCATTTGGTTCTTTCAGCCACAGCATGTGGTGAAATGACAGGCAAACAGCGTGTGGTCAAACAAGTGCGGTCAAAGCTGGAATCACTTCATGATGCACCTTGATTCCGTGCCCAAGGTAGCTGGCGAGAAACAGAGCAATCAAGATAAGCATTCAGGGATCTGCATGTCTGGCAGTTTGGTGCTTTTTGTGCTTTGTATTCCCAGAGAGTCTCTTAAACAAACCGTGCGTCTAAACCTGTGATCCGTCGGGGACTTTTGTCAACAGGCTCGGGTCTCAGTCAGCCGTATAATCGCCCCCGCAGGTGGCTGATTGGATTTATCTAGCATAAGTCCTCAAAAATGAGAACACAAGTGGCTAACCAAGCATGGAGACCAGTGAGGACAATCAAACAAACACACTAGCGCCCGAGATCCACACGTTTGGGTCAGTGCGGCTGAAAAACAATGCCTTTTAGTGTTGTTTGTCAAGTTGCTTTGTTATGTTGCAATACTCCTTTCACCGTTTCAAAGCTGCCAAAGAGCCACGACTCGTATTCTTTTCCTCAGTGATGTGATACTGAGGAACGAGCCACGTGAATGAGTCCATTCCGTCTCCAAACACTCTGAGCTGTGTCTGAGTTTCCCTACAGGCTGTACAGATCGTCAGACACTGCAAGAGCGAATCACTTTAGATGCTTTTCCTGTAATATAAGTCATTTTAACTCTTCTCTTGGGATGTGCTGCCAAAACATAATTATATAATGTTGTTTTAGCTCAAAGTTATTGTGTTAAGCTCTGCTCCTTAGATGAATGATTTTCAAATACGAGAATGTGTACAAGCTGATTGTGTGATTACGTTTAAACAACAGACAACACATCAAGAATGAAAATAAAAACTGGAAATAAATGACTGAACAGAGAAGCATTTGCATAAGAAATATCAAACAATTATAGCATTTTACGTGGTAAAGAGGTTCCCAGAGCATCTGCAGCTGTTGGGATAGTACACTGTTATTAGAATTACTGTTTATAAACAATGTCAGGCACCTTTTAGGCATCCTGTAGTTAATATTAGGTGATATGGCAAAGATATGACCTCACGATGCTCAATACAAACTAAATGTCAGAGTATTTACTTTTTAGTTTTTCTGAGGTTTGATAAGTTGCAGTGGACAAAATGCACTAGGCCTGGGTAATGTCCAAAAACAATTAGCCCAAACAATGTTTTTATAATGTAAGAAATATAAAGAACTGTACACTTTCAGAGATAAAGAGCATCTGCATCTGTTGGGATAAAACACTATTAGAATTAGAGGCTGTACACAATGGGTGTGTCTCAAAACCTAGTGAGCTCTCTAAGTAGCCGCTGTCTATATAGGCAGCTGTCTAAGTAGGCAGCGTTCCAACCGTCATCTCTCCTTATAAGGCAGATAAATGAGACGCTCTAGTTAGACAGCAGCGACGTCGCCGCTTGTTCCCGCCCACTGCACGAGACCGGCATTTACTGACCTCGGCCGTCAGAATCACAGTTAGCCAACATGGATCTGCTCTGGTGGTTTATACAGTGATTTTAATTGTATTTGCTCTGAGTGAAACAGAATGGAAATAGACAATAGTTGTGGTCAAATGCGGAAAGTATAGGCTATCCGTGCACCTTTATGACCAGAAAACAGATAAAAACCCCAGAAAATCAGAATAACTTACATTTGAAGATGACGTCGCTGCTCGGCGAAGCGCTTCTGCCATCTTCAAACAAAAGTTGCGCCGCGCTGCATTGTGGGATTGCCTCAGCGGCTGAGGAAGCATCCGATGCTCTCTCGATATTGGGCCAAAATGAGACCTCAGTAGGCAGCGTATTTGAGATATCTAAGAATTGGGACAGCCTTCTTGTCGGGAGCGCATATTATGACGCAAAATGCTGTCTATGTAGAGCTCACTAGGTTTTGAGACACACCCAATATCAGGCACCTTACAGGCATCCTGTAGTTAAAATTGGGCGACATAGAAAAAAAATGACATTGTGATACTTGAAGGAGACAAACAGAAAGAAGATGTCAAATCAGAGATGTTGGCCCAATCCTATTTCTTATTTTTACCCCTAGTGCTTGTTTTCGAATGTCACCTTGCCCCTTGGAACTGAGTTACAAGAGGTGGGGGTGACATTATTTATTATCACCCACTGTCAATGCTTCAGTGATATGAAGCTGAAGTCAGCTATTCACCAGCTTCTCATTCAAATTTTACCATTTAAGGTGGAACGGGAAATTCAGGTAGCTAGCTACCGAGATATCAGCTACTACTAGCGATTTTTTATGCTTGTTTTGAAGAAGTGAACCTTAATACACTGAAACAATATTACAGATAATACAATGGTTATCATAATCATATTTTGTAACAGAGAAAATTCTCGCATTTGTGGGTTTCTCTGGTCTCTTGTTCAGCCGTCTTGCTAGGTTTTCTTGTTTTCTCATAACTCTCTGTTTGGAGTCTCTGAAAAACCTCAGTTTGGAGGTCATGCAGCTCTAACACTTCACCCCACCCCTCTATCTCAACAACAATCAGGACACCCTACCCCTAGACGTGAACACGCAAAACAGAGGCGTAGGGCTGAGTGGTAGTGGCAAGGGGTGAAATGGGCCGTCGTGCTGGTTGTTGACGCTACAGAACCTTCAAAATTCAAAAGGCCTGAAAATCAAACCTTTGATCAGAGTTCCTGAAAGGCCCATAACACATGATATGTCTGCTGATTGAGGCTAATGCATGAAATTGATGAGTCCAGAAATGCAATGCAGAGAACTACAGGAATGTATTTTAATTATTAAATATTAGTTACTAATAATGTTTTGCTGGAAGAGGCTGTGTTTATATTTTTTCATACTGTTATTTTTTTTCTAATCTTGCAGTTGGGGGCCGGG